CCAGATTGGAGTGACCGGATCGCGCTACATCAGCTCCTAAATTTGATATTTTGAACCTAAACATTTAAATTTGAACCCGAATCGTTTACAAGTAAAAACCCTGCCCCTATAACATCCAGTCATATATTGGAAATATCTCCCGTACATATATATTAAATTGGTGAAAAAATATTTTCATTAAACAACTGGATTCTCATGTTTTTTACAATGTATACAGAGTTTTTACTTGCAGAGAATCTTGTCGCGTGTTGTTTTGGCATGAAACCCCTCCGGCACCAAAGACAAAACTTCATATAAAAATAGCTTAGCAGTTAGCATGCAATATAGGGGTCCCTAATGAAAGAAATAGATTAGATCTGACAAAAAGTTGATCCAATCCGCGAACCTGACCCAACCCAACCCGAAAAAACAGGGTCAGGGTCTCATATTTTAGTTATCCGAATGTGAAAATGACCCAACCCGACCCAATCTAAAAAAAAAAATTAGGTTGAGTTGGGTTGGGTCATGGGTCAACCCGCTGACTTGATTGTCAAGTCTACTTGGGAATATTTATGTATCATTGGAAGTTTTTGCTTTTTAATTTTTTCTATTTAGTCTTTACTTTTTATTATTTACTCTTTAAATTGTTAAGTGTTCAAGTTTTTTATTTTATGTTTAGAATTTTAAGATTATTTTTTTTTTTATTTTGACATTTTTTATGTAATTTTTCTTTATTTTTTTTAACTTCAATTTTTTTGATGACCCAAATTGACTCATGGGTCAACCTTAACCCGAACATTTAAGATTAGGGTCTAGCATTTGATATCTCAACTCGAAATCAACCCAAAGTACCTTGACCCAACTCGAAGCCAATCCACCTAACCCAATTGCCAGGTCTAAAATAGACAACAATATATCTTCACTTTGTTATAAAACTTATCTGATAAAGTGGTTATTTCCCTCTTAAGTCTATTTGATTACACTCTTTATAGGTCCACTTGGATCTGAAATTTTAATCTGATCAACAAGTTATTGAATCGCGTAAACGACCAACGACCCCAAAAAATGTTAAAGAATTGTCTGAAATGGTAAGAAATGATATAAGGACTTACAACTCGAAAGAAAAAATGACTTTTCATAAAACACAACGACAGGAAGATATTCGTGCAGCCGGCCCCAAATAGATACATCATAAAGACTGTGTTCATCGAATAAATAATAAGGTTGTGTTTCGTTTGATAGAAACAAAGAGAGATAGAGGGGGAAGTTAAGATTCTTTAAAAGCCTGTTTGTTTATTATTTATCCATGTTTCTTTATTTCTCATATAAATAAAGTAATGACCATTTTAGCCATAAGACTCCATTATTAAAAGGAGCATTTTTATTTTATTCAAGTATTGGCAACTTTTTTCATATGTGGGAAAGTTATTTATCCACCTAAGATATGGATATCCCGAATAAGTGATATTCATGAAAATAAACTTTCCATGATCCCCACATAAATCTGAAAAAAGAATATGGGATTCTTGATCAATAGGAATCAAAATCCCGTTAACCAATTTTCCCCTCTCAAAATCAAAAAAAAAAAAAAAACACCCTAAAAAACTTTTCCCCAAATTTCTTTTTCTTTCTTAATTTCTATCAAAGCAAACGCAGCCTAATTGATTGAAATCACCAATTCTCCTAGTAAACTGTTAAATATAAAAATAAGCTCTATCATCTTATCTAATTAATAAGATGTAATCAGATTCCAAATTTGTGAGATTTAATAAGATGGTTGATTAGATCATGTAAAGTCACCAATTCTCCATTCAATTTCTTTTTCCCCAACCCAAATAGTTAGTAGATATTTAATGGCAGAATTAAAACGGAAAGGTGAAGCCCAGCAGGCCAGCAGTGAACGCAATGTGTCCAGCTGGGCCGCAAAAATCCTAAGAGAGTCAAAGGAGGCGAGGACACTGCTTCCATGAAGTGACATAAAGAAAGCAACTAGGAGCTTATGGGGGCCTAGTGGGGGTCCAGTGTGCTCTCCTTTAGATTGGCCTGTTGGCTCTTATCCACAAAAAGTCATAAACTTCGTCTTCCCACCCCCGTGCAAGGGACGGTACATATCTTCCTTCCTCCTCTATCTCTATGTCCCCTTCCCTTTTCTCCTCTTCTTATTCTGTACCCTTCACCCGCTAGATTCTGTCTGGTCTGACTTTTGGAAGAGCGAATGAGAAAAAATTAGCTAATTCCCGTGATCAGAATCCAACATGAGTCCATCATGGGCCACAGACATTTTTACTAAAAAAGGGCCCACATACATGTTGTCCTTGCCTGCAGTATTACTAGATAAAAATAATTAAATATTTATTAAAAAACTCACTGTGGCAATAGAAAACACATGTAAATCATGCCTACCCATAAAGAATACTTAAATAAATATTCTTAATTTTGTAAAGAATAAAAAAAAAATCATGGTTACGGGCCTAACAATAAGGACCAACAATATTATTGAAAATCGATGCTGTTGGAAAGACAGATATCATAAGGGCTTTGATCAATCAAAATCTTCTTGAAGTTTGATAAATACCATCGGATTGGTTCAAGTTTTTCTGATATCATGATTTTCCAGTATCATACTCGAATCCTACTATTGAAAATCCATACTGCCGGAAAAACATGATACTGAAAGAGCTTTCATCAATCGAAATCCTCCCGTGAATTTTAACAAATATCATAGTCTAATCCTTTTATTTTGTATTTTACATACCACTTTTTTACTGATGCTTTTAATTTGTAAAATTAGTTTAAGTAACCATTTTTCGAACCCAATCTCCAAAAGTGGATGAAACTTGTTTTGCTTTCAAAAGCAGCCACTATGGCATATGTTTTGTGATGTAATGGTCACACTTTGTACTAAGGTTTTTAAAATTGACCTGGGCAATGAATCGGTCAGGGGTGTGGTTCCTGGGTCGAACGGTCTGACCATTCAACCGAATGAATGGCCTGTTCTGACAAGAAATAAAAAAAATAAAAAAAATGGCTAAATCATCGAACGATTCAACCGCCCGGGTCAAAGGTTTATTGATCAAATCAACAGTTTTGGGGAGAAATAACGGTTCTGGATAAAACGAAATCGGTCACCTGACCAGTTCCTAGTTTTTTCGGTCCAACCATCAAATCCGGTCCAGTTTTAAAAACTATGCTTTATACTGCCACCTCAATTTTTCATTTGTAGTGTTCATGCCAAACAAGATTTCAAATCATTTTTTTTTTCTTTCTAGGTAATGGGTTTTTGAGTCTTTCCTTTCTTTTTTTTTTCTTTTTTTTTTTGTTATATGATTCTAGAAGGGGAGTTCCAATAATTTCACGTGGAATGTGTGATGCTACCAAAAAATACCCTTTGGTACTTAAATGTGTAATAACAAAATGATGTTTGTGAAAGACAGCATACCATAATGATTCAATGAATGAGCACCCTGAAATTTGTTATTTTCCTTATTTCTTTTTGTAATTGATTTATTTACTTTTTATTGTTTTTTACATATATCAAATAAACTAAGTTGTTTCCTTTGTTCAAAAATGTCGACTAACCCATAAGTCTAATATCAATTATATGGATGATAAGTCTAATATCAATTATATGGATGATTCATTATATCTTCCCATTTGCGAAAACAATTTTATTGATGATGGAGAATTTTTTTTTTTTTGACCAAAAAATTATGATTAGTCATTTGAATTATTTGAGAATATTTCCTTTTGAAACTTGAAATGTAAATGGTTTATACTTGTTAATTGATTAACTATTATTTAGTTTAGTACTTAAAAGGCTAGATTTATTGTTTATTGTACTTTCTTATCACTCTAAGTTGGTATAGTATATGTTATTTTTATCATTTATAAACTTTAACTAATTTTTTCTTAATTGTTGAGGCCTACACCTCTCTTTTTGGGTCATTATGCCCTAAGCATTTTAAAGCTCCCCAACCCCAAACAACTACCCTTATGTTATTTTATAAGACTGTTTTACCCTTTTAACTTTTTTTTTAATTAGAATAGGTATTTTCTTAATTTTTGTCACTAATGATGTCACTCCATAGAATTTCGAATGGCAATTTGATATTTTCACAACCCTCTAAGGGTGTATACAATTTACCCTTTTATATTTTTATTTATTATTTACATCCGATCCCATTTAATTAGTTGATGTTGTGTCTACAATGTAAACAATTTTTTTTGTTGATTTCAAATGAAAATATTTTACACTTTGTGTTTTTACTTTTTTACTTATTTGCTTAGCTGAGGCATAGTTTAGAAACAAGAAAAAAAAAAAAAAAAAAACATTCATGTTGGAGAGAGAAAACACCTCCAAAAGACAAAATAATAGGAAAGAGCCCAATATCCAAGGCTTGGATAAAAATTAAATTACTTTTCGGGGCCAAACAACAAACACTACCCCGGATCGTTTATTGGAGCATAGCCCACACTAGTGATGCTCCACAGTGATTTCGACGCATTAAAATCATACGTATAGTCCCATGAGAATGACTACACTGCTTTGGCGACCAGCGACGACAAGATAAGCTTCACCGGCCAATCACACCATTACTGGGCGTCACCAGCCAATCACATACCACTACTGGGCCCATAATCAATTCCAAACATCCCCCCGGAACCTGAAAGGCTAAAACGTAAAACCTGCAACCAAACCTCCCCCACTATCTCTTCGGCGAGTTGATCAACGGCCGAACCGAACCGAAGTCTTTCTATTCTCTAGTTCTACCTTCCTCCGATGAGTATGACGACTGACGACTAAAGGTACTGCCAATGGAACTGACGTGGCCCGCTGCTTCGCTAAATCTCGTGACGTCAGACCAAATTCAATCAATAAAAACCACGTGATCAATTCATCTTTTCTCTCTCTCTCTCCCACTTGCAGAGAGCGGAAATTTCAAAGAAACTCCATTAATTTTAATTTTTTAAACATAAATCGGTTCAGTGCATGAACCTTTCTCTCTATTTATACCCTCCACACCAGTTCCTCCAAATTCGATTCTCTCATGTCTCAGGTCTTACTCCACTGAGAATCGCAGAGAGAAGCAAAACCAAAATCCCTCAAATTTTCAAAAAAAAAATTAAAAAAAAAACCTAAATTCAAAAACTCAGAGAGGTTGGAAAAAATGTACGGGATTAACAGTGGTGATTCTGATTTTGCTGTTCTTGAATCGATAAGAAAACATCTGTTGGAGGAATCGGAAGCTTCAGCGAATTCGCAGATGAATGTTCAGGCGAGGAATCAAGGGCAGGGGCAAGGTCCCGTTTATTGCAGGAGCTCCAGCTTCAGTAGCCTCTTCCCTTGCTTGACCGACAAGTGGGGAGATCTGCCTCTGAAGGAGGATGATTCGGAAGACATGGTGGTTTTCGGCATGCTCCGTGACGCTTGTAATGTCGGATGGACTCCGTCACTCGGACAGGAAACGGCGGCATCCAACTTTAACTTAACGGAGACGCCGGTTAAATTGGAGCCTCAGGAAACGATGCCGGAAACGCCGATGGCGTCTGCAGCTGTAGCTCCCCCAATTTCGATTCCGTCGCTGGCGCAGCAAGAGAAGCCGAAACCGGCTCCAGCTCCGGCAGCTCCGTCGAAGGGGAAGCACTACAGAGGCGTGAGGCAAAGACCGTGGGGGAAGTTTGCGGCGGAGATTAGAGATCCGGCGAAGAACGGCGCCAGAGTTTGGCTCGGAACATTTGAGACGGCCGAGGATGCCGCGATGGCTTACGACCGAGCTGCTTACCGGATGCGCGGCTCTCGAGCTCTACTCAACTTCCCACTCAGAATCGGATCGAATGAACCGGAACCAGTGCGAGTGACCTCCAAGCGCTCCTCCCCGGAACCCTACTCTCCTTCTCTTTCGTATTCGTCATCGACGTCGTCGTCCGACAACGCCTCACCTAAGCGGAGGAGAAGAGGGGTGGTCAGTTCGGCTCAGGCAGCTCCTGCGGCGGCTCAAGCCGGCTTAGAAACGACGAGTCGATCAGAAGTCTTTCCAGTTGGGGCTCCACTGCTATGTGGCGAGCAGCTATTGGTCAGTTAGTTTTTGTATAGGGCTATAAAAAAAATATGCAGAGCACGAACAGTGGGAAAACGAGTTCATCCTTTTCCACGTTATTTTTTCAGGGACAATAGAAAAATAGAGACAAGTGTGTGAACTTTGAAGTGGTGTTTGGATTTGTGAATATTAAAAGAAGATTTGTTATTATTTCATGAGGTTTTATTCTAAAGTTTGGGTCTGAAAAAATCAAGACAAAGGGGAGAAATGTGAGAAAGCAATGATCACAGAATGCTGGAAAATGGAAATGGGATCCAAAGTCCAACCTTGATCATCACACTTCATCTGAACTTGGCCCAAAACATGAAAAGACATTCCATGATTGATCCTGAGCTGGGCCCACCATTAATGCTTAATAATTCCATTATGGCACCCTTAAATCTGGCCAACAAGTAAAAGCCCAATAGCCATAGTACAGAGAAGTACCTGACGCAATTGGAATCCCAAGATGGGCTGAGTTGATGCAGGAGAGCCCAAGACGACTGGACCCTCTGGGCTTTACAGTTTTGTTGACTGATGTAGATAAGGCTGTTTTTCGTTTGAAGGAAAAAATAGAGAAAAGAAGGAAAAGGTAAAGAAACCTTTATAAATCTTGTATAGACTTTTCTATCTTTTCCTTCCTTTCTTTACCTTTTTCCTCAAACCAAACATAGTGATGTCGGTCTTACTCGTTCATCTGGTGTGAAACCGTTGATTGGATGGGATGATGGTTTGAATTTTGAAACAGTTGAGAAGTTTTGTGAAAGCAAGAAATTGCTATTGATTGATTGAAGATGTTTAAAAATTACTTACTGACTTATTTCTATACTTGTTGGACCTAAGATGCATTGGCTTTCTGAATTATTTTTATCATTAGCAATAGTTACTGATTTATAAACATAGAAAATTATTTAAGCACTTATAATTTAACAATTGGTATGGCATCCAATAGAATGGTGAAACAAGATTCATATAATCAAACTCATATAAATGGGACAAGGCTTCATCATCATCTAAGCCTTATTACAACTATATGGGGTTGGCTACTTGAATTTTGTTTCTCCATTCAGTATGTTATTTATTCGGGTAAATACACTTATCCGTGAAAGTGTTTCCTACGAAAGACTTACCCGGGTAAGTGAATACCCATGTTCTTTTATTTCCAAGGTAAATATGGCAATGATCATTTTAACCATAAAAATTCATTATTAAAAGGGGCATTTTTGTCCCATTCAAGTGTTAGTGACTTTCCCCCAGGTGGGAAAGTTATTTACCCACCTAGGAGCTGTGTAAATGATACCCAAGAAAATAAACTTTCACACAATGGGAACCAAAATCCCATTGTCCAACTTTTCCCCCTCTCAAAATCCAAAAACAAAAAAATGTGGTGAATCTATTAGGTGGTATTTGATAACACTGAAACAGGGTCTAATATCTAAAAAACTGGCTTTCCAAAGGATGGATCTTGTTTGCATTAACATCTAAACCATACCTTTGTAAAGTGATAATAGGTCTAATTTGATTGATAAAAGGTGGCTCATGTGAGGAACATTTTCAGATGTGTTTTAAGTAACTCATTATGACTAAAATGCCCTCCTTTTTTAATATTATAGACTATAGAGGCCCTGAAAAGTGAAAAAGAAGGTTTTCTATTTTCAGATATCAAATCTATAAAAAACAGTTTTCTGCATTTTAGATAACAACAGAATTCAGTTTTATCCTATATCACCTTTCTGTTTTATTTCTGATTAGTTGGACCTAAGATGATGTAATTACTGGTCGCTACTGGCATCTAATTTTTGAAAAATAAATTAGAAAATGGATTTCCAAAGTTTGAAAGCAGTTTGAGCTGTTTCTTTTTCAGTCATCTTCAGTCCTTTTTTTTTCTTTGCATATTTCAAATCAGCCAAAGCTTAGATGATATGATGATTTATTAATTGAAAAAATGCAAAACCTTTGAGATTCACTTTGACTAAAACATCTAAAGAAGAAATTTATAATCCGAGCCTCATCCCAACTATATGGGGTGGGTTACATGAATCTTGTTTCGCCATTCCATTCTATTTACTGCCATATTGATTATGCATCACTTTGTGGAAATAGCCCAATATATCTTGCCTATTTATCACCACTGTTAAGAAATTTGCAATGATTGATTCTGTTTAAAATTGCATTACTTACTGTTTTATTTCCAATTGGTTAGACCTAAGAAAAATAAATTAGAGATGGATTTTCAATGTTGAAATTAAAACCTCTCTTTTTTTAAATTCTTATTTTCATTGGTGTAACAGGAAAAAAATCTAAATTAAAACCCTTTTAGAAACCATTTATCTCGTGATAACTATGCTAGTTATTATGTTTTTTCTCTCGAATAAAATATATCATAGAAGAAAGGACACACTGTAACCCTACAAAACGTTATTGCTACAACAATCTTGTATAAAAAAAAAAAAAAATAAGGGATCCTTCGCCTTCGTTAGTTAAATATGTTTTTGGGGAAATTGTCCAAAACTCACCATGAGTTTTCAACATTTCTCTTAAACTCGTCACAACTTTTCAAAATGTCTAAAACTCACCATGTCACTAATTTGACGTTAAAGAGACTAACGGCTGTTAATATATTACCATTTGGATCTTCATAGAAAAATATAAAATATATACATATATAAAGTATATACATATATTTTAATATTTAGACATGAAAAAAAAAGGAAAAAGTTCAAAAAATATTTTCAAATATAAAATACATAAAAACACAGAAACTACAAAAAATGTAAAAAAAGGTAGAAATTGCACACAAAATAAAAAATTATTTTCAAATTATAGAAACTATAGAAATTGAAAAACAAAAATCAGAAAATAAAAATTGTAGAAAAAACACCAAAAATTATAGAAAAACACAGAAATTGCAAATAAATAACAAAAAACACAGGAAATTTTATAGATGGTAGAAAATAGAAAAATGTAAAAAATCAGAAATTATAAAAAACATTAGAAATTATAACAAAACACTAAAAATGTAAAAAAAAATGAAAATTGAAAAATGAAAAAGACCATTTTCCTCTAACTCACCATTCAAGGGTGATTTTATTATAAAAATTGTTATTTATGCTGGCGTGAAGACCTCTGTTAAGAAACATTAACGGTGCACTAACGGAAGGTAGGGTTTGGAAAATAAAAACTTACTGACATGGTGAGTTTTAAACGTTTTAAAAAACTGTAGTTTGTAGCGAGTTTAAGAGAAATATGAAAACTCATTGTGAGTTTTAGACAATTTCCCATATTTTTTTTAAATGAAAAAAACAAAAAATTATCTTTAGTTGTTGCCTGTTGGTAAGGAAACTATACATGGATTTTTGCTCTTTCCTAACGGGAATCAGCAACAAATAAATGTTTTTCCACTTTCCAGCATAAGAACACAGGAATGTATATGAAGGAATCGTGACGACCTTGGCTTCTAATTTATAGACTGACCAACTCTGACCCACATTCATATATTTTGAAGAAATTAGATGATAATCCTCGGGCCTTTACGCTTCTTCCCTTGACCAATCAAGGAAATTGTTGGGCGAAGGCATCATGCTTTTTTCTTGACTTTCTGACTTTCTGGAAGCTTTTTTTTCTCCTCACTTCTAAGAAAAGGTACCTTCGGGTACAGAGGCTGAGAAACAATTTAGCCTGTGGGGACAGGGGCCTGGGGAGAGAGAGAGAGAGAGAGAACATTGCACAATTACACATTATATTTGATTAGCAAGCATTTAGCAATTTCATACTAGTGTAAACAATTCAACTCTCAGCTTCTTCTACACCACCCTGGCAGATCCATAGCCGTTAGATTGGAATTTTCAATTTTCCTCATTTGAGAATTGATCGGTTAAATCCAATCTTATCGGTCATCATCAACCTAGTGGAACGACAAGCCACGTGGCCATGTGGCCATGTGGGCCTGGGGTTTGTGTTTGTCGTCAGTGTCCACGTCCCCAACCAAGAGATGGGTCCACATCCAGAATGGCCCACGCACATGACTGATGACACATCACACATCTACGTTTACTAATTAATGGTTATTAATTATTATTTACCGACTGATAGATAACTAACTAACTAGACAACGGTCAAAATCAAAGGATCAGATAGTAGGGGGGAGAGGGGGGCCTGGAATTGAGAATTCTGCATCGGGTGTATCCGTACTCCTCCGACAAAATCATCTTCTCATATTCAATTCAAGTTAAAACGGCGCACACATGACCAGGCCAGGCCCTTTTATCCCTATAATAAATAAATGCTCGAGTTATCAAAATCCAATCACACGTGCTGAGAAAACGCTTGACCCAACAACTCATTTGCCCCTTAAGTCTTGACTTTCAAAGTCTCAGAAATCAAAATCTGAACTCCTGAGGTGAGGTGGTGAGGTGGTGAGGTGAGGACTGAGGGTGGCTTTATTTTATTACGACTATTATAAGTTAAGTTACAGTATCCATTTCAAACAAATCTTATTACCATCTACGACCCTCCACCCTAGTTTCTAGTTTCTACCACAGGAGACAGGAGAACCACCTGAGGATCTGAAAGCCCTTCAAATTTGGTCTCCACTGGATCTGGATGTGACTACCATAGACTAGCCCTTGAGATTGGTCCACATTGTTCAACTCCACAGTTGATTTTACTTTTTCAAGGATGATAATCTGTGAAACCATATTGGCAAACAAGCTTGCTCCGTATTTGTTTTACAATAAACACCCCCTTTTACCCGGGATAATTGCAATCTGAGAGGCCACAAAACAACCATGGTTACAAGAAATTTGTAATGGGGTTTTATCAACCATCATTCATCATTAATCAAATCCAGTAAACCCCAGTTATTCTATCTCTGTCTGAGCTGGAAAAGGCCAAAATTTCATTACTACCTTAGTTCATAGGTGTCTTGCTTTGGGTGTGCGTAGGTAGCTGGATGAGTAATGACTGAACACAAAGTATTAAATCAAATGACGATACTTGAGTATCATAAGCATCACTAGTTATTTTCTACGCAAAAGAACGCAAAGATCAAATGATAATATTTGATATGTGGTAATTCTGAACTTCCTTCTAAGACAGGCACATGGCAATATGGTATATACACCAAAAGCACCTTGTCTGAGGTTGAGCAGATAGACTATCTGATTTCAAAAAGATGGGTGACCTATCATCATCATGGCCTCAAAACAACAAAAAGAATGAGAAATACAACATTTCTGTGCTAAAAGTTGTACGATATTCCATCCACACCTCTAATCCAATCTCCGTGTCTGATCTAAATAGGAGTGGATAGAATGAGAAATTCAAACTTCAAATCACACTACCAATTCCAAATGCATGAATTCTAAATTTCTAATGGTAATGGTGTACACAGTATCAGAGAGGGCATGATGTCTCAACAGAAGACAGTTTATGATACCAGTATGCCATCCATGAAAATCTGAGAAGCCACTTGAAAACCTGTTCATGGGTTTCCTTCACTCTTATTCTTCATGATGGTTTCCTTAACTCTTTTCTGTCATGATATAGGTGGTCGTCTCCTGCATTTTGCAGTTTAGCAAGAGGATCAAAAGGCAGGATGAGTGTAAACCAAAGTATACATCTCCATTAAATTTTACGTACTAACGCAAGTACTAGTCATTTACACATCTATGGTCTATGTTTAAAAAATAATTACACATTTAGTTAATTAGAGTGGACAAACATTTATCAAGTCTTGAACAAATGAAGTATGTGAACAGACAAGCTAATTGATTTGCTCACTTTCTTATGGTAATCAGTACCCAAATTATGTAATGACTTGCATCACAATCTAGGGAGCAAAGAGGGATAGTAGTACCTCTTGGGTCGACTTCGATCTTCCTCATAGTCCATCACTCCACCAGGTTCAGAATAGAGGATCTCCTCATGACTTCGGAACTCCATGTCTGCCTGCTTACAGTGTGTAACTTCTGCCACCACGTAAGTAAGACAATCGACCAACATGTCCCAATATAAGCACTAATTTCTATAGTCCTACATCAATTACTTCCAGAGACATTTAGCTTCTAAAGTTTTATGCAGAGAAATCAGGACCAACCAAGCATTAATTGGTTCAACTCAAGAAATAGAAAATCAAGATTCAACTTCATATAATGTTTGTGACCATCCAATTTATCATATTTTTTAGTATCCGTTAAATTATTATGCTTTAACTAAAGGTTCAACTGAATACCCAAAAAAAAAAAAAAAAAAACTAAAGGTTCAACTTGGGAGGGCTTGAGTTGAGGATTTCTTAAAAATTGAATGGGCCTGGCCAAAGGGCCCAAGTTCGATGCTGAATAAATTCTTCAATTCAGGTAGCTGACTCACACCACCTTCCGTCTACACACAATCTCCCAGTTAATCATCTGAACTATCTTTTTAGTCCCTAGCTCCCATAGAAAGTCCCTCACTTTTTTTCTCTAACCTTTTTCACCACAAGAACTAGAATTATGAACATGGGAAAAAAATGAAAAATAGCAGGTAAGTTGGCAAGGGTGGAGTTTATTAGTGTTGTCTTCCTTCCAAAAGAAATGTAATTCATTTTCCAATTTGTTGGCTTTTTACAAATCTATCCACTATAGGGTTCCGAAAATTGCAGGTTCCAGGGTTCCCTCCTAATAGTAGACTGTACACCTAGATAGTTCAATGGCCATTCCCCTCTAGCACGCCCCAACACCATAGCATATCTCCCCACTAATGTTACATCCATGTTCATCCCCATTAAGTAGCTTTTCAAGAGATTGATCTACAAGTTAGAGCCAACTTCAAAGCAAAGGAGTGTAGGATCCCTCCTAATAGTAGACCTAGGTAGTTTACTGGCCACTCTCCTCTAGTACACCCCAAATACCAGCATATCTCCCCACTATTGTCTCATCCATGTTCACCCCCGCTATGCAGATTTTCTGGAGATTGATCTTCAAGTTAAGAGACAAATTCAAGGGACTTGTCAAAAGAACAAAAAAATCAAGGGACTTGACTAATAAGTGTAGGTTCCTTGCTCTTTCCACTCCAATGTCCTACACAATATTATGTCATCCGACAAAATACAATACTGCCACATCTCTCCCTATCCTCCAATCTCTCACAAGACCTAGTCAGTTGGCCCCAGACAAAATCCAAAAACATCTGTAATGATGGTAAATAGGAATGGTGGCAAGGGATCTCCTTGTCTAAGATCCCTTCAAAGCTAGAAAGAAATCTTTCACAGATGCATTCACCAAAATCAAATAGTGACAAGATTTTAAGCATATCCATTTTCTCCATCTTTCTCTATAGTCACTCTTCTCCAAGGACCAATCTATCATGTCAAGGCTTTTTCTAGATCCAATTTGACACTCAACCTTGCCTTTGTTTTTCATATCCTGCACATACTCATGCTACCATGATTTGGTCTATGATTTGTTTACCTTAGGTTTAAAATGTTAGTGCCAATGAAAATGTCAAGCATCCAAATATAGGACACATGTCAGAAATGTGTCATATAGAAATGTTATAAAAATAAAGGTAAAAAGACGTAAACCTCACCTGAGGTTTCTCTTAAATACTGAAACCTCCCATCTATTTACAAATTTGACTAAAATCTCCCCTGTTAAAGTTATGTCTAACATAGTAATTAAAATGTCTCTTTTACCCCATTGATTCTTCAAATTTTCAAAATATTGGAAACTCTGTCACCAGAGAGTTTTAGATATAACGGATTATGTATTCTCAAGCACAAGGTAAGAAAAAGGAATACCTCTTTATTTCAGTTTGTCCAATGTGTAGCTAAGAGAAAATTCAGATTTTGCATTAGTGCTGCTGATCATCCCAGACCATATGCCTTTTTCAAACAAGGCCATAATGATTTTTTTTTTTTTGATCAATAACACTTTCATTAACTCATCAATAGAAGAATTACATTAGGAAGACAAACACACTTATCTTCCAAGAACAACAAAGAACCTCAAGAAAAGGAAAAAAAGAAAKAAAACACACTATAGTTACAGCTTAGCCCAAAATAGTGAATCCCTTTCTGCCCCTTGTTTAGCTAAACCGTCAGCTATAGAATTAGCCGATCTTTTAACCCAAC